TCTGAGATCGAGCCTGGACACCTCGTTCCCGGGTTATTCCCAAAGTCGCTACACTGGTTCAGTCGTTTAGGAGACTGAACTGTTTAGTAAGAAGAGTCCTTAGCAAATAAGAGAGACTTCCAGAATTATACTATTGGAACGCGTTTAAGCCCCTCGGAACCCTCCGGGATAGTGCCAGCCCTCACTCAGAAGGAGCTGTACGCCAAAGATAAACAACCGCCTCAGAAGTGCGGTAGCCCGGGTGCTGAGTGAAGAGGAGGCCCCTGCTGGCGGTAAATAACCGGTGCCACCGGGAGTGCCGCCGCCCCTGCGATGCACTCTCCCCGTGAAGCATAAACATTTAGAAGTCAGTGGCACACAGTGGTGCATGTAGAGTGAAGCCCATACAAAGTCCTGCGATCTACTTGGCAGCCCTTTTAGCTAAGGGTGCCCCAGCCCGCGCTCTCCGAAGCTTGCTCTAAGCAGCAGTCTAACCAGTCTGAGAGGAAAGCCGGGCTCTGGCGGCTCACGAAATCAGCGAGGGCGTGGCGAACTGGAAAAGCTCAGGCCCTGTCTGACAGTGCCTCCTCTGAATTCAAAAGCAAATCATTTTGCCAGCAGGAATGTGTTCCCCACCTCCCGGCACTCTGCTATGGTGATGAGGTTTTGTTTTTTAAAGATTATTTTTTAAAAAGCTGAAATCTAGATTTAAAAAAAGTGAATTCTCCCAAATTGCAAATGTTGGCAACTTTTTTTTTTTTTTTAAAGAATCATTTTCAAAAGCAGGCACATTAAACCTTCAAGCCAATTCCAAACCCTGGATTAAACGCTGCTTTGGTCATTGACAGCCTGTGGGGGAGTGGTTTAGGGGCAGTCCTCTGATTGTGAGGGAGTCTGGAGACTTGATTCAAGCTGTAGCTACATATTAACTACATTGTTTTTAATTAATAGATTTAGGTGGGAAAGTTTGAAGGAGCCTGAATGAGATTATGTGGAAGCTAGAGTTTCTCACCCCCACCCACCAGTCTACTCTGAGACATCAAATCAGTGAACTGGAAATGGTTTGATTCTGTGCCCATTGCTTCTAAACCAGAAAACTACGTTAGATCCCTGAAGAACATTAAACCTCCAAACATAGGGGCATGCTGATCCAAAATGGAGGAGCTATCTGTGAACCTTAGTCCTTCCTGACCACCAGCAGGGAGGATCATAAGAAAAATCAAGCCATCTGCATGCCTCGTCCAGACCTAACCTCATTTCAGTCAGTACCTCTCAAATTCCCATTTTTGTGTCCAGAACTGTGTGACTCACAATAGCCCAGTGGTATATTCTCCCCTGAACCCCTTAGATCCTACTTGGCTGGGGAATTAATGAAGTGAGAAGCAGAGATGTAATAAATACCGTGGGCCCAGGCCTGCTAATTCTCCCTCTCTCCACATCAAGGTGATGTTCTGATTGGCACCACCCACACCTTTCTCAAAGTGGAGCACACCTTCACACCACTGACCTATTGAGGTATTGTTGACTGCCTCTCTGGCCTTCACCTTATTAAGTCTAGCTCTAGTGGGCCTACTGCTCTGTCTCGGAGAATGTGATGCACAAAATAAGGAGGCCCCCACCTGTACACAACAAAAATGGTAGAGTCAAAAAGACCCAGCAAAACAAAGTACTGCATCATAAGGGTAGCATCTGTCCCATCTCTGAAGTTCCATGCCGTGGCAGCTCTTGTTCAATGTCATGTGCCAATGAGGATGGTAGGGGAAAAACCGTAATACAGAAGACCTAGGTTTTCGTCCTGGCTCTGAGACTGGTAGTTATTTCATTCTATTTG